AAAGTAAAACTTTTCTTTTAGTTGAAGCCTATTTTGTAATCTATGCAGTTAGCTGAGATGGCAAGGTGCCTTCCAGAGAAAGCAATTCTTTTCGCATTGGCGATACATTTTCCATATTTGATTCGATTCGCTTTATTGGATTTCATTGAAGCTAAATAAATATCGAAATCTAAAGTACCATCTTTCGCAGTGGCAACTAATAAATGAGGCATGCAGAAGAAAATCCACTTTTGAGACCTCCTTTTTTTGTCCTTTTTTAGAGCGATTTTCACGCTGACCCACCCCGCCGCCGCAGGGCAAGCGCTCGAATCGTTCAGGTCGGGTCGGGTCAGGTCAGCTGTGGGCCTGCGCCTGCGCCTGGGCCGAGGACTCATTCAAGCGCACATTAAACGCGCCTCGTTTGTGCTGAGGCGTTAGTCGTGTCCTTTGAAGTGGCCACGTTAAATGGTTTTGGATGAGCATTTCGGCACATTGTTGTGGGTTTTATTGTCGCAACATTTTTGCCACGTATCATAAATTAAATAGTTAATCGTTTTTTGCATCATTGCAGCTGCGATTCCCGATGGACATGCCCCTGACAGGATACGTCAGCCGAAAAGTCACACTTGAGTTTGACACACAAATCGACCAAACGGCCTTCCTTCCAAAAGCAGCGGGCTTATCAGGCCAAACATTCACATGACATCAATTAGTCAGAGTTCAATGAATGTGCATAGCTGTATGTACATATGCACATAAGGACCTCACACTAAAACCTAGTATCCGACATGTATATATGCAGCTTTTAAGCCATTTTATTCTATTGTATACATAACCTTTTATTTACGTTCTCTCATTAAGTTTCTGTGTATTTACGTATACATACATGTCTGCTAAAGCATGTGCATATGTGTGTTGGTGAATAGACATATGTTTGTGCACATACGCATGTTTTACATGTTTGAGTGTGTGCATGTTTATATGTACGTATGTATCTAAGCATTCAGATTTATATGCATACATACATATACTAAGCTTAACTTCACATACATTTGAACAATACGTATCTCTACGTATATAACTATAATATGATTCTCGGGAATTCAAGTAAGCCCTAGAGGCTTGCTTTAAGCGTTATATATTCTCGAGCTTTATATGCTATGTATGTGTGTTTAAAATATTTATTACGTATGCATGTATTTACGTGGATTTGCATGTATTTATGTATGTTGCGTGCATGTGTGTATGTGCATATTTATGTTTGTCCATATGGCTGCATGTTTCATACATGTATGTATGTGTATGATCGTGCGTATGTATATTCAGATGTATGTAAGTAGGAATATAAGCATATAAATTACTATTTCTTCGACTTTTGCATTTTATTTCTTTTCTGTTCTGCTCTTATTTTTTTGAGTTCTCTGTGCATGTATGTCTATATGTATGTATGTATGTACGTGTGCATCTATGTATGTATTGAAGTATGCATGTACATATGAACGAAGTCGTCTCATTTCTAAAATAATATTTACATATATTACGTCAATATAAATGCATGTTTACGTAATACAAACGTTGGCGCGGGTTATTTACTGGGAAGCTAAAAAAAACATAATCAAATAATACATTGCGATTTAAAAACTGTTCAACAAAATTAAGTGAGCCCAAAGCGCCATCTATGAGTCAAGTGCGCGCATTCCAGTGAATAACATTGGTAATCGTCTGTAAAGTGTGGCGGTTGGGCAATGACATTTTTATGTATGTTATCGATAGTGATAGGCTGCCTAGCGTTGTCGGCACTTGCAGTGTGCAACAAGTCAATTAATTTGCCACATAGTTTTTATACAACAGTTTTTATAATATTTTCTAATTTTAACCAAGCATAAAGTGCATAACCAACAGTTAATAATAAGTTTATAAAAGTTACTGCAAATTCGTGTGAACCAAAAGCTGTGTAATGTCGGCAACGAGATTTCTGAGTGCAATCGGCCAAATTTCAAGGCAGCAATTGCTGCAGAACAAATGCGCTAGAGGTAATTATCCAAAAATAGATTAAAAACGATGCAAATAATACTTAAAACGGGAAGAAAGTGCATTGCAGTATATGCAGTATACACGATTAATTGAAATAGAGAATTGTTAATCACTTGGACAGCGTTTGCCGCATAACTGGACTTTGACCTTTGTACTCCCCCGTATGAGATAATGCCAAAGTCTCAACTTGTATATGAAATGTGCTGTTATGGAATCTCTGAACAGTGTGAATTGATTAATTTCAGCATATCCTGCTGCTGCACAACTCCAGCGTCGTCTAATGTCCACAAATCCAGCGCCGAAGCTCGCCCCGGCAGCCGATGTCGCCAACAAACACCTGCACACCAAAGTGGTCAATGGGGTGCTGGTCATTAAGTTTGACTCGCCCAATGCCAAGGTCAACTCGCTGGGCAGCGAGGTGAGCGATGAGTTCGAGCGTGTGATTAAGGATCTGGAGACTAATCCCTCGGTCAACTCGGCGGTGCTTATTTCGGGCAAGCCGGGCTGCTTTGTGGCTGGCGCCGATATTGGCATGCTGGAGGCATGCCAGACAGCCGAGGAAGCGACCCTTATCTCGCACGGTGCGCAGCTGATGTTCGATCGCATGGAGCGCAGCCGCAAGCCCATTGTGGCCGCCATCAGCGGTGTATGCCTTGGCGGAGGCCTGGAGCTAGCGCTGGCCTGTCACTATCGCATTGCCACCAAGGATAACAAGACGAAGCTGGGTCTGCCGGAGGTAATGCTGGGTCTGCTGCCTGGCGGTGGCGGCACTGTGCGTCTCCCTAGGCTGACATCAGTGCCTACCGCTTTGGACCTGGAGCTGACAGGCAAGCAGGTGCGTGCTGATCGTGCCAAGCGTTTGGGCATTGTCGATTTGCTGGTCGATCCTATTGGGCCTGGCCTACAGCCCGCGGAACAGAACACCATGGAGTATCTGGAGAAAACTGCTGTGCAAGTGGCCAACGATTTGGCCAGCGGCAAACTGCGCGTAAGTGGTCCATGCGGAGACACACATATAAGATTATATCATTGCGATTGTTTTTGCAGATTAACCGCGAGAAAACGGGCTTGGCCAATAAGCTGCAAGCACTCGTCATGGACACAGATTTTGTTAAGAACAAAATCTTTGATACAGCACGCAAACAGGTGATGAAGGCCTCTGGTGGTCTCTATCCTGCGCCCCTCAAGGTGAGCCGGTTACAATCTTCCCATCTATTATTTGTATGACGGGCAACCGACATTATCCTCATATACTGCTCAGATCCTAGAAGTGATTCGCACTGGTGTGGACAAGGGCGTCGAGGCTGGCTACGAGGCGGAACGCAAAGGCTTCGGTGAGCTGTCGGCCACACCCGAATCAAAGGGCCTTATCGCACTTTTCCGCGGCCAGACCGAGTGCAAGAAGAATCGCTTCGGTAAGCCCCAGCGTCCAGTGAAGACTGTGGGCGTGCTTGGGGCTGGTTTAATGGGCGCCGGCATTGTGCAGGTCTCCGTGGACAAGGGCTACAACGTTGTGATGAAAGATGCCACCGACGCGGGCCTAGCACGCGGCATTGGTCAAGTTCAGAAGGGCCTCGAAACGGCGGTTAAGCGCAAGCGCATCTCAGCCCTGGAACGCGATCAGACGCTCGCAAATTTGCTGCCCACGCTAAACTACAACGACTTCAAGACAGCCGACATTGTTATTGAGGCTGTTTTCGAGAATATAGAGATTAAGCATCGTGTGATCAAGGAGCTGGAAGCTGTGGTGCCAGAGCATTGCATCATCGCCACCAATACCAGCGCCATTCCCATAACAAAGATTGCAGCTGGCAGTTCGCGTCCCGACAAAATAGTGGGCATGCATTACTTCTCCCCCGTGGACAAAATGCAGCTGCTGGAGATCATCACGCATCCAGGCACCTCTAAGGACACGATTGCCCAGGCTGTGGCTGTTGGTCTCAAGCAGGGCAAAGTGGTGATCACTGTGGGCGATGGTCCTGGCTTCTATACGACGCGTATTCTGGCTACCATGTTGTCCGAGGCTATTAGGTGGGTCTCGGGTTTGGTTTCCAACTCAATTTTCCTCTTAATCGTGTTCTTTCGCTTAGACTGCTGCAAGAGGGCGTGGATGCCAAGGAGCTGGATCAGTTCACCAAGAAGTTTGGATTCCCAGTGGGCGCTGCCACACTGGCCGATGAGGTGGGCATTGACGTGGGCTCCCACATTGCCGTAGATTTGGCCAAGTCATTCGGGGACCGCTTCAGTGGCGGCAATCTGGAGGTCATGCAAGATCTAGTGCTGGCCGGTTTCCTGGGCCGCAAGTCTGGCAAGGGCATTTTCTTGTATGATGGCAAGAGCAAGGGAAGCCGTCCAGTGAATACTGATGCTTTAGAGATCGTAAAGCAAAAGTATTCGCTGGTGTCCAAGGGTGCCAATTCTCCCGAGGATCTGACACTGCGCATGGTGTCCCGCTTTGTTAACGAGGCAGTGCTGTGCCTGGAGGAGAAGATTCTGGACAGCCCATTGGAGGGCGATGTCGGCGCCGTATTTGGACTGGGTTTCCCACCATTCACGGGCGGCCCCTTCCGCTGGGTTGACCAGTACGGTGCTGGAAAGTTGGTTAGCAAAATGCAGTCCTACGCCGATCTGTATGGTGCACCATTTAAGCCAGCCCAAACACTGCTCGATATGGCTAAGGATCCATCGAAGAAATTCTATCCCAAGACTGGCGCTTCAAAGTTGTAAACGACAACAATAAACGAAATTTAGCTTTAAAGTGAATTTGTAGCCTTATATCTTATGCATTTCTCTCACAAAATACTTTGGAGTAGTCTCCAACGCCCCGCTCTTTGATGAATTGTTGAAGTTTTCAGCCTAATAATAATAAACTATATCATGTAATATTTTCATACATTCATTTATTTCTTTGACACGATTGTTTGCGAGCTTAGGAATTGCTAGCTCCTGATTGCCTAAGTCTAATCTGCAACGATTTTGTACATCAATCTTATAGCCTAGCCTAATTACGCACTATGCATAACATCCATTTCTATATACAAAGCTGCTTACACATTAAATTCTCTATATAAACAACAGTTAGCATTGCAGCAGCCAAAAGCCTGTGGCATCAGCTGCCGCAGTTAAGGTAATTAATATCTAGAAATAACACATTGAGCACACGACACATGGACACTGAACGGCGAACAGCTCAAGAGTTGAGAAGGTAACCATGGAAAGCTGAGGTAAGAATTTACATTTTCCAAGTACAGAAATAAATGAAATAAATTTATTCATGACCTAATAAACTCAACTCAGAATTCAATAAACATAAACTAAAATCCTAGACGTCTTAAAGATTAAATTTCGTGATTTGAATTGAAAAATTATGGCATTTTTTGCTATGCTTATTTTAGGATATTAATTATTAGAGACTGTAGCATTCTTATAAATATTTGCTTAAAAGGAATAAACCCTCGGAAATATTGAAATCTCAGTAGCCGATCGAGTATTCACTTCAGCTAAGCTTGGTCTTTTCTCTAAAAAAAAATGTTCAACTCGCTATTTGTTTTCTTATTATTGATGACTTTCCCAGCTTAAGCTTCTCAACTCTTGGCATCAACCATTTCTGGAATACCTAACTATACTTCTTATATTTAGATTTAAGGATTTTTGTTTACTTGCGCCAATCCCGTCCAAAATTGCGCCGCTGCTGCCTACCGGATGTACTGTTGCTTGCCGAGCCGCTGCCACCTTCGCCGCCAGCGCCAACGGCACTGCCGCTGCTGGTGCCGCCACTGCCGTTGAGCACGCCGCCATTGTAACGCTCCTGGGGTGGGTAGCGCTCCACGACTTCGTCAATGAGCTCGAGAATGCCAATTTTGAACTTGCGACGCTGCTGCGGCGTCAGTGCTGCGATGTCCGGCAGAATGCTGCGAAAGAATTCCATGTCTGGGTGCTCTGTGACGCTGAGCCCGCCGAAGTAGTTGACGCCACTGCTCGTCGTGGTGGCTTCGCACTCGGTCTTGATCCTTTTGGCACCGCTTTGCTCGAAGTGCGCCGCCTGCTGCTGGTGATGTTGGAGCTGTTGAAACTTATGGTGATGGCCGTGCAGCGCATGGCTGTGGGAATGAGGCGGCTGATGATGCACTGGTGTGGAGGAAGCATCGTTGTATACCAAATCCGGGCCAGACTCTGCCAGCTGCACGTCCGGTATGAAATTCTGAAGGCTATTCGCGCTAGCCGTATCGCTGCGGGCTGGTGAGCCGGGAACTGCCATAACATTAGATCCGGGTGTGGGAGCCGTTTGCTGTAGGCCCAGTGTTGTGGCTATGGCTGGATCAAAAGCATCAATTGTTTCCTCATCGTCGTTCTCAGATAGCGACTGCTTAAGCTCCAAGGATTCATTTAGGACCATGCTGTTGTTGTTGTTGCAGTACAAATGTTCCTGCTGATGCTGCTGTTGCTGATGCAGCTGCAGATGCTGCTGGGAGAACTGGAAGAGTGTGGCCAAGCTGTTATTGCCATCCAGTGAATTACGCGAGGACTTGAGGAACGGCAGCAGGAACGCCATGTGCTCGGTCAGATAATAAGGTTTATGCTGCGGCTCGGAGCCGCTCTGCTGTTTGATGTAGCGCGAAAGGCAAGCCCGCAGATTCCGCCATCTCTCCTTGCAGTGAATAACTGAAATGTCAGGTAATATGTATTAACTGGTTTGATAAATAGCTAAATTATCGCCTACCACTCTCACGTGTCTCCTTTGATATAAGTGCCCAGGCTTTCTCCTGGTTGTCTCTGCAATATTAAAAACAAAGACTAAAATTAGTCAAAAGTAGTAGTTTGTCCTAAGCTAAGCTACAGCAACATGATGCTATTCTGCTATTATCATTATCCTTTCATTATAAATATGTACGATTAATTGATGTTGATGCACGACTCACGCTGCCATCACTTGGCGGTGCACTCACCTGTTGCGATACTCCGGCACTTTCTTGTCGTACAGACAACGATACGTGCGCACCAAATTAACGAATCGTATGTTGAAATCCTCGTCCGCTTGCATGACACGATTTGTTGATCCTATGGTTGCTGCTGTTGCTGTCGGGCTGTTGCTGTTGTACAAAGTTGCCGCTGAGGTTGCTCGCTCGACGTCGCCTTGTCGATTGTTGCTGCTGCTGGTGGTGTTGTTGCTGGTGGTGTTGGTGGTGCTATTGCTGCTGCTGGGCGTTGAGGTGGTCATATTCGTTCCACTGGCTGTTGCTGTTGCAGTCTGTTAATTACAGAATTTGCAATCAGTTTGCTGTTTAATGTTGCAATGCAGCTGTTGCTGCTGCTGCTGCTGTCGTTGTTGCTGCTGCTGGTCACACTGATAACAACAGCAATTGCAATACCCGCCAGCAACTGTGCTGCTGTTGTTATTGCTGTTGTTGCTGGCAGTCAGAACAACAAGCGAAACGGTTATTCTACACAATTCGGTGCTGCGTTACAAAGTGTTTTGGGCTGCGTCTGTGTTGGTGTTGCTGCTGTCTCAGCAACAACAGAGGCAGCGCAGCAACAGCAGCAGAGGCTGGCGACGACAGAGAGCTTTTTGCAGTTGATATTTTTGTTGCTGTTCCTGTTGCTGTTGTCATAACTATGTATATTTTGTGAAACCTAATAAAACACTGGCCGCTTTTATTGTTGTATTTGCTTTCGTGACATTTGTGGTCGACGTCAACGACAACGACAATGACATTAGCAACATTGTTTGCTTTTCATATTATTATATCCACAATAACAACAAGAACAAGCATAGAGGTAAAGTAAGAATAACAGACAATTTGGCTGTACTTGTTTTTATTGTAACAAGTTCTTGCCATTCCTGGCCACACACACCGACACACACACACACAAACTCGTACCCATTTGCGCGGTTTTGATAACAGCAAAAAGCTATTGAGTTATTATTCACAGCAATTCATACTCAGCAAATGATTCGTTTAATGATTCGCATGCCTACTGAGACCGACTGCCTGGCTGACTATTATTGCAACTGCTCAGCTGCTCGCTGCGACTACCTGTTTTGATTCTAATCAACCCACTCAGTGTTGCACTACCTCGCTCTCTCTCTCCCTCTCTCTCTCTGTTTCTGTACACTGCTCTCTACCTCCTTAAATCGTACCGCCTCTCTCTCTCTCTCTCTGAGTTGTGGCTGTCGCTAAAATCTTTAACAAATTTTCCCGCCACTTTCAGCACCTTGCGTTAAGCCCACCAGTTTTGCACACAAGCAACGTGCGCACAGTGGCCTGTGACTAACTAAGTGCTCAATAATGTACAATAACTGTTGATTAGTTAGATATTTGCGAATTATAATATTTTTATAGGAAAACCTAAAATTCAGAAAACAGGCAACAAATTTACAACTTGTTATAAGAAATAAAATGTACGCGTATCAAATGGGATTACATTTATCACAAATTGGAATGCTATAATTATGCGAAATATTCAGCCCACTGTGGCACAGTTGTTATGTTGTTTTTGTCGTCATCATTATTATCAACATTGCCAACTTCATTATCATCCTCTACGCTGCGCGCGTGTTTCAGTTCTGGCTGTTGTTGTTATCGTTGTTGTTGCTGTAGTTGCTGTTGACGTTGCTTTTGTTATTGCCATTGCTGCTGCTGCTGCCGCTGCTGTCGCTGTCGCTGTCGTATGTTCTGTATTATTCGTCATTTGTTTTTGTTGTTTTCGTTAGTTTTGTTTGTTCGCCTTTAACAGTTGCCAGCGTCGCTGACGCAGCCGCGGCAGAGCAGCGAGACGTTGTCGTTGTAACTTTTGCTGCTGCTGTTTGCTGAATTTTGTTGTTGTTGTTGTACCGCCTGCGCAACGGTTATTGTTGTAGCTGTGTTGTTTTTATACGTCGAGTAGGGAGGGCAAACAATAAACTAGCTAGCAATATTAATTGTAATTTGTCTATTAACATAAAATACGTACATATGTTAGTATATATGTATGTATGTACATATTTGTTCTATTTGATTGTGAGTATGTATGTATGTACATATATACATATGTTTATATTTATATGTACATATGTATATACATATATGTATTTGTACAGCAACACAGCGACAGAAACACCAACAGCAACAGCACACAAAAGTACAGCAACGTGCAAAACAAGAAAACACAAAAACAAAAAAAAAAAAAAAACAGAATATTTCTAAAGCTAACAAAACACACACAAAACTTGCAGAAATACCCGGCTGCCCCCTCCCCAAACCGCTGCCTCCTGACCAATGACAGCAGCAGCAACGAAGGCAAAGGCAATAACTTTGTTAGATAGAACAACAACAGCAGCAGCAGCGGCAACGACAATAACAACAACAGCCATAGCATCAGCAGCAGCAGCAGCAACAAAAGGCACAAACACACACACACACGCACACATACAGAACACACTGGCACACAAACAGTTACACTATGGCATATAGAATTTTTCTTGTTGGTGAATTGTTGTTGCTTATCTGGCCAAAGCATTGTTTTTGTTGTTGCTCTGGTGGTTTTTATTTTATTTTTTTCGAAAACATTTTCACTCGAACATTTTGTTTATTTTACCTGTACTCTGCAGTTTCCGTCCGGGCCAACGTTTAAAAAACCGTTTTTAAATAAATTCAAACCGCGCTTATTTTTAAGCCAGTGCCGCACTGAAAACGGCGCCAAAAGAATCCGCTGCTTTGGCGATGTCGTCGTCAACGGCAGCGATGACGACTGCAACAGCGACTGCGACTGTGACTGCGACTGTGACAACAACAGCGGCGGACTGACGTAACATACAAAAAGTTGCAATTTTAATTTCGTTTTCAGTTGTCGTATGTTTCACGTTTCAAGCGACGAAAGCGACTAAACACACTCAGATACTCAGTATCTATCAGCTACAGTAGAACACAACAACAACAACAACAACAACAACAACATCAGCAGCAGCAGTCGAAGTAGCAGCAGGCAAGCAAGCAGCGACCACGACGTACAGTGGAACGCAATTAACGTTACGTGCTCCATATTTCTCAACATTGGGTTGTTGTACTTATAAAACGAATACGGTTTAATTGAAAGGGGATGATTAAAATATGTGAGGTACACATTTCAAAATTATTAAGGATCGTTTATGCATACCTTTTCTTTAATATCAGAAGGTATTATTTCTACATACAGATAACTACGCGGAATTTTTATTTGCATGCATGCTCATGTATTCTTCATTAATATTTATTTACTTTACCTTATCCTGTGTAGAATATTTGTTCTTAGATTTAATTATATTTGGTTCCATGATATTGTTTTAGTCAAAGGCCAAAAATGGAATCACTTTCCTTAAACAAGTTTCCCTTGGTTGTTTACAGTTTCATTCCACTGTGCGACGACAACAGCAAACAGAGAAGAACGCACAAACCGCTGCTCTCTTTCTCTCTCTCTCTCTCTCTCGAACACAGAATCACACACACGAACGACGCACACAGCTGGCAACAACAAGAGCACAAAATTTATTGTTGTTGTTGCTGGCGAACAACAAATAATACAAACAATACACACACACAGGCACACATACAGTCGCAGGCACAGGCACACACAGGCAGAAACAAAACAGCAGAGCAACGGCAACTGCGCGCTACAAAATGCAAAGAGACAGAGACACAAAGCAGAAACGACGAAGCCAACGACGACAGACTAACAAAAATGTGCTTCACTGTGGTCTCGTTTCAACAAAATATAATTGAATTTCGTTAACATGTTCGTGAATATGTTGATCAATATTATGACTATTTAATAAACTCTCCAAATATATACATATGTAGCTCTAATTTAATGTAATATGCCTTAAAAGAGTTATTTTTTTATATTACCAATTTTTTATAATTCATACAAAACCACATTATTGTATATTTGTTTTTCTTGTTCATTTAGATTATTTTAATGTTTCCAAATTTTTAAGTTTTTTGTCCCGTTACCCAGTAAAATTGGTCTGCCTTTCGCTCTTTATGCGCTTACCTGACTACAATCTACAACAGTTTCAACCATATGACTGTATCCGTATCCAACAACCCTAGTCCAATGTGCATCTTCCCCTGTGAATCATGTGAGTGTGTGTGCACCGAGTTCCTAACTCTCAGCGAACATTGAAACAGCGACAATGGCTCGACAGCGGCAGCGGCAGCGGCAGCAACTGCTCTCAGTATAAACAAAATGCCAAGTAAACAAAAATACCCGCAAATTATTTTCCTGCTAGTGTTAATGTTGTTGTTGTTGCTTTGTTGAAAGCTCTTATTGCTCTGTTCGACAATACTCAAAGTTTGTTATCACTGTTGATGTGTGTTACGGGTTGCATGAGCCAGCGAAAAGCTTTTTGCAAAATAGTTGTTTACATAGAGCTGTAGGGTGCACTTGCGCTACGCAGGAGCTTTTAAAGCGTTTCATATATAGGGAGCGCTTTCCCTTTGGTAATTGTTAAGAATTCGAAATTATCAATTATAGCGGACATTTTTTAATACATTAATATAAAAGAGGTGCACAAAAAAGAGTTTAGTTTGAACTATATAAAATTCACTTACATTTGTCATATTATAGAATGTTGCATTATGATAATATCACAAAATAGTGGTTCATTATCAGTTTCGTTAAAAGCCATAAGCTCGAAAGCTTTTGTAAAAGCTTAACCACGCTTGCCATACATACAGCCGCTCACCTAAGCTACCATTCCAATCAACTATGGGCCGCGCTTTCGATACGGTTTTAATGATTTGTTTACAACTTTGTTGGCTTGCAATTTACCGCAAGCATACGCTTCACCCTAGCCGCCTGCCAACCTCCCGCACACCCGCGCGTTCATCCACAATTTACCGCGCCATTGAAAGCTTATCTGCTGATGCGTGCGCGCAAAAATTCAATAAAAAGGAGGCTCGTTTCTGTGTTGGCCTACATGCAGGCACGAGCTGACACGAACAGCCGAGCTGCCGAGCAGCCGAGCAGCCGAGCAGCGCACGAAGGCGACTCGAAACTTGGTCAACAGTGGAAGCTTCAAGTGCAATCCTTTTGACGGCGCTTTAAAGCTAACAAACTTTCGTGTCGTGCCTTCAGTTGGCAAAGGACAGTCGAGACAGACGCTAGTCCTGCGTGCGCCTAAAAGCACACAGCAGTTTTTCTAGTTGCTGTGTCAGTTACGCGCTGTGTTTGGCGTAGTGTGCGCGAGTGTGTGTGTGCATCCAAATATTTGTCATGAATTATTAACAACAGTCAGCAGAAAAATTTGTAATAAAGGCTAACAAGCAGGAGGCCAAAACCAAACGTAAGCCAAGAATCTTGCAAATATTGCGCACAGAGATTTTTTGTGTCAGTTCGATGCATTTCTGAAGCGCATTTTGCGCTTTTTCCCCACACTCTCTCTCTATCACTCTCTCTCTCTCTCTCTCTCTGTCGGCTGCTGCTCTCGGCAGCTCTCTTGCAGTGTAGAGTTTCGATTTCGTTAGAAAATCGAAGCAAACTGTGGAGGTATCGTTGCTGCGGCTACCTGTAGATGCCACACTCACATACACACACGCACACACACATATGTATATGATTCGCCCATATGCGTGTGTCTAAGTGAGTGACAGTGGCCAGGCAAGTCCTTGAAACGGTTTTATTGTTAAAACATCATCTTCCCCTCTCGGTGCCCGTCAAGCTGACTGCCTCCTGTAATTAATCCATAATTCAAGGTCCAATGAGTCCGTCACGAAGGTTAAACATGACAAACTGCTTCTCAGGCATTATGAACTTTAGTATGGTTAATGTCAATGATTTCCACATAAATATCGAAATCCCTTTCGTCAGATAAGCAGCTTAGAAAGTTTTCTAAATTGACATTACGCCATTGACTAACGGATTTACGAGAGTTAGGCTAAAGCAACCTCATTAAACAAGTTAACGCTTAAAAAGTTCGTTTTTTAAATTGTTCTTCTTGTTTTTAGTTTTAAATATAAAAATATAAATATAATATAAAAAGTGCAACATTCAATTATAAAAGTTAAAACTTATTTTCTTGAGTAGAGGATTTTCAAATTGAAGTAAAGCCATTAGTTGATACTTGCTTTCCTTCTGTTGCAGCCGATTATGATTGCCAATTGGCAATAGATTTAGGGGTACAAGCATTGAATAATATATGTGTTAGCCGTTATAATAGTGTTTTGGATATGTAGAGAACAAAACATTCGCCTTTGCAATTGTTAGCCATGAAAAAGGCAGCATAGTGGAAAATTGAAGCTATTGTCTTAATGCCATGCTAAGGGAACTTTTCGCACACAGTCTATATTTCATCTTGCTCATATTTGTGAATTTCTATTCGTAATTGTTATTCCTCGCACACACACACACACGCACACATTGGCAGCAACAATATTTGAATTCCAAACAAAGCTGCGAGGAATCCCGCCCTCCGAAGACATAACCGCAACTATCAGCGCTAAGCATAAGAAACCCCCTCCTCCTCACTGAGATTCCGCCGTTCCTACACACTCACACACACGCGCGTTCACATGTTCAGCAAGCGTTTCGCGTTTTAAAAAACCGCATTACGCATACGCCATATTGGTATTGAGGCAGTCTGGCAACTTCGTTGCGCGCCATAACAAAAACAAACAAACAAAGAAATGAAGGAGAGGGAAAAGCTTTTCATTGCTTGCCATTAGTGCTCGCAGCGCTCTCACTCACACTCTCTCGCGCGCTCTCTCTCTCTCTCTCTCTCTCCCACTCTCTGTTAAAGTGCTGCCTCCTTGCAGTTGAACAAATTCACGAGAGTGTTGTTTTATTTTTTTGGGTTTTTCCTGCGCTGCGTCGCAGTCGCAGTCGCCGTCACCGTTACCGTCTCCGCCGCAGCAGCAGCAGACAAGCCATTTTCGCTTGAGTAGAAAATTTCAATGATTTTCGTTCGCTTAGTGTGAAACGAACCAACAACTAAAACGAAACGAACGCGCGCGTAAAATACAAACAAAACAGAAAAGCAGCCAGCAAGGCATCCGCAAAACACGCATATAATTAACACCTTCCCCCTACCCCGCCCGACAGAGCAAATCACGTTCATATTATAAACAACGTCGTTTTCAGTATAAAACTTAACAATAAATCTGAGGAATTCTCATTTCTAAAACGATTGCATTGAGCACAAACGAACCGAACAGAACCGAAAGAAACAAAAGAATCCACAAGTAGCTGCAGAGCGAATGAGCAAAATATAAATAAAAACCTATATAAAATACATATGCACACATATGAGTACCTGTACGGATTCTCGCATCTATTTCCAACATCAATGTGTATGCGACAACTGCATCTGACATTGGATGAACTGCAAAACGTGTGACATATCTATTTATCTTCTACTTTCTTGTGGCTTTCGGATTGACAGCAGTTGAATTAAGCGGCAAAGTTTTGGAATCAATTTCAATGTGAGCGCATTTTATTTTTTAAGTTTTACATAAATATTTTTAATTTCGTGCTGTGTATTTATTTATTTCCTAAATTGGTAAATTCCTAAAATTAAATAATTTAAGCCTTTCAAAGCTTTTGCAAACTTTTGAATATATTCCCCGAGAAACTATAAGTCGTCTTTAAAGAATATTTTTTAAGTAACATTTCGCTGAACGAAAACAAATTCGATTATTTCTACTCAGAACAATTTTTGTAATTTCTACTCACAACTCACAACTTCTTTACCCCTGACCTAAGCCTGATTTCTGAAAAAAAAAAAATAATTGTATAAAAAGTTTGCTTTTAGACTTGTTTATTAATAGCCCA